CTCTTTTTCTCCGAGGCCTCGCGCATGGCCACGCCCCCTCTCCGGATCGGGTGACGTTGCCGACACCTACGCGCGTCGCGCCGAGAGTTGACGGACGCCCCCTGGTGCACTACTGAAGATTTCGGGAGCTCGGAAGAGGCTCTTCCGGGCGGCCGCGATGTCCAACCCGCGGCTTGTCAGCCGGCTCCTGGATCTGTGAGTCCGCCGCGCCCTGTACTGCTCTCCCGCCCGCTCCCCTGTCCGCTCCCCTGCCCGCTCCCCCTGGCTCCCGTGTCCCCGGCGCGTCGTCTGTCCGCGGAGGTCGGTCGTGCCGGCGCCCCCACCACGTCCCGGTTCGCAGGCGCTTGGCCGCGAGCCTCAGCCCGGAGGGGCCCGGAGGAGCTCGGCTGCCGGCGGTGGCGGGCCCGGAGCCTGGCCCTGGGCGTCTCCTGGCGGCGTGGAGGGATGCGTCGCATCCTCGGGAGCCCTGGCCTTGCAGACAATAAACACCGCCAAGCTTCTCTTACTGTTACTATTTTATCTCCAAAACTGTGCTGGAAATTACGGTTACCATGGCAATCGCATCCCTGCAGGAGCGGTCCATTAACATTGCCGTTTCTAAAAGAATTAGATTGATGCCAGGAATGGCCCTATTCTGAAAACCTTCTAAAAAGAGTAGGATTTGACACACATGAGCATGGATTGATGATTTATAATATATAAGTACTGGCTTTTAAAATTATGTTTGTCATGGTTTTTAGATAAATATTTACCTGTACTCCTGGCCATCAATACACGGTCGTTTTTCATAATGGAGACATCAGTTGGTTCTTTAATGTGTAGATTCAGATTTTAGACCTCCAAGAGAAGGAATTTACCTTAGTTTGGGATACACATTTCATACCTTACGAAATGTGATTTGACTTTACACTAGTTAAGGTAGAGTAAGGTGATAGTTAAGAGTGCGTGCCATGAATCACACAAAATTCTGTTCACCTAACATTTATTAGTTGTACAGTCATGAACAAATAATCTGACCTAATTGGGCTTCACTGTTCCCGTCTGTCGAAAGAGGGCAGTGTCGCTCCGTTATCATGTCCTGTTGGACTGTTCTGGAGCTGTAAGGCTAGCATTTGGGAGGCTAAGACAAGAGAATGGCTAGTTTGAGAGCAGCCGGGAGTGTAAGCCAGGTCTGGATTGCCAGCTGCATTATCGTGAATTGCTTTCCCACAAAATAAAAGATAAATAAAAAGACATATAAAGTCTGTATAGAATAAGGTTGGCACATAGGTAAATGCTTATTTCTTTTAGAAAGTAATACTGTCGCCTACCTTCTGTGGAAAGCAGCATGGAAGAGCTAGTTACCTAAACGCTGATCTTTTTTCCTAGGGCTCAATTTCATTCCTGTATCTGAATTCCTGATATTTCATGCAGCCTCCCCAAGGGGTCCGTAGACATGATCCTCCAGGGCCCAGGAGCTAGCTCAGCAGCATAATCAGCCACCTGGCAAGCACAAGGTCCCAAGATTGGTCCCTGGTACT